TTGGAAACATTTAAGAAGGCACTTCAATATGGAACATTTTCGCCAGATCTTTAAACTCAATGTTTGAGAACATTTATGTGCAAAAGCAATACTGTGGTCTCTAACCAATGCTTCACGATGGCCAAGTGGTCACAATCCCACTTCTGACACAACATTTTCGATGCATTGTTTGGATTTTAGTGTCCTTTAAAATGGTGACCTGACCCCTGGAAACAACATTTTTTACTAGATATGAAAATTCTGTGTCCCAAAACAAATGTGTCTCTTTTCAATTGGAAACATTTTAAGAAGGCCTTCAGTATGGAACATTTTCGCCAGATCTTCTAAACTCAATGTTTGAGAACATTTATGTGCAAAAGCAATACAGTGATCTCTAACCAAAGTCAGGATGGCCGAGTGGTCTAAGGCGCCAGACTCAGGAACAAATCTTCCTACTTAATAGGGTGTTCTGGTCTCCATATGGAGGCGTGGGTTCAAATCCCACTTCTGACATGCATCTTTTTCAATACATTGTTTTGGATTTCATGTACTGTTAAATGGGTGACCTGACCCCTGAAACATCGTTTTTTACGATACATGAAAATTCTGTAACCGAAACAAATGTTTCTCTTTTTCAATTGGAAACATTTAAGAAGGCCCTTCAGTATGGAACATTTTCGCCAGATCTTCAAACTCAATGTTTGAGAACATTTATGTGCAAAAAGCAATACAGTGGTCTCTAACCAAAGTCAGGATGGCCGAGTTGTCTAAGGCGCCCAGACTCAAGGTACAAAATCTTCCTACTTAATAGGGTGTACTGGTCTCCATATGGAGGCGTTGGTTCAAATCCCACTTCTGACATACAACATTTTTCGATGCATTGTTTTGGATATTATATACTGTTAAATGGTGACCTGACCCCTGGAAACATTTTTTTTTACTAGATATGAAAATTCTTTGTCCCAAACAAATGTGTCTCTTTTCATTTGGGAACATTTAAGAAGGCCCTTCAGTATGGAACATTTTCGCCAGATCTTCTAAACTCAATGTTTGAGAACATTTATGTGCAAAAGCAATACTGTGGTCTCTAACCAATGTCACGATGGCCAGTCTAATCTTCTGACAAACAAACTCAATGTTTGAGAAACAACAACATTCTTTCCCAAACAAATGTGTGAAACATTTAAGAAGGCCCTTCAGTATGGAAAAGCAATACTGTGGTCTCTAACCAATGTCAGGATGGCCGAGTGGTCTAAGGCGCCAGACTCAAGGAACAAAATCTTCCTACCTAATAGGGTGTTCTGTCTCCATATGGAGGCGTGGGTTCAAATCCACTTCTGACATACAACATTTTCGATGCATTGTTTTGGATATTATGTCCTTTAAATGTTGACCTGACCCCTGGACACAACATTTTTTTGAAAACTAGTCTCTTTTATGAAACATTTAAGAAGGCCCTTCAGTAGGAACATTTTCGCCAGATCAAACTCAATGTTTGAGAAAATGTGCAAAAGCAATACTGTGGTCTTTTCACGATTGTCTAATCCCACTTCTGAAACAGTGTCCTTTAATGGTGAAGGCATTTTTTTACTAAATATGAAAATTCTTCCCAAACAGTCTCTTTTCAATTGGAACATTTAAGAAGGCCCTTCAGTATGGAACATTTTGCCAGATCTTCTAAACTCAATGTTTGAGAACATTTATGTGCAAAAGCAATACTGTGATCTCTAAACCAATGTCAGGATGGCTGAGTGGTCTAAGGCGCCAGACTCAAGGAACAAAATCTTCCTACCTAATAGGAGTGTTCTGGTCTCCATATGGAGGCGTGGAGTTTTCAAATCCCACTTCTGACATACAACATTTTCATAATACATTGTTTTGGATTTATGTACTGTTAAATGTTGACCTGACCCCTGGAAACAACATTTTTACTAAATATGAAAATTCTGTGTCCGAAACAAATGTGTCTCTTTTTCAATTGAAACATTTAAGAAGGCCCTTCAGTATGGAACATTTTTGCCAGATCTTCTAAACTCAATGTTTGAGAACATTTATGTGCAAAAGCAATACTGTGGTCTCTAAACCAATGTCAGGATGGCCGAGTGGTCTAAGGCGCCAGACTCAAGGGAACAAAATCTTTCCTACCTAATAGGGTGTTTGGTGTCCATATGGAGGCGTGGGGTTCAAATCCACTTCTGACATACAACATTTTTCGATGCATTGTTTTGGATATTATGTCCTTTAAATGTTGACCTGACCCCTGGACACAACATTTTTTTACTAGATATGAAAATTCTGTGTCCCAAACAAATGTCTCTTTCAATTGGAAACATTTAAGAAGGCCCTTCAGTATGGAACATTTTCGCCAGATCTTCTAAACTCAATGTTTGAGAACATTTATGTGCAAAAGCAATACTGTGTCTCTAACCAATGTCACGATGGCCAAGTGGTCTAATCCCTTCTGACATACAATATTTTCGATGCATTGTTTTGGATTTTATGTCCTTTAAATGTTGACCTGACCCCTGGAAACAACATTTTTTACTAGATATGAAAATTCTGTGTCCCAAACAAATGTGTCTCTTTCAATTGAAACATTTAAGAAGGCCCTTCAGTATGGAACATTTTCGCCAGATCTTCTAAACTCAATGTTTGAGAACATTTATGTGCAAAAGCAATACTGTGATCTCTAACCAATGTCAGGATGGCCGAGTGGTCTAATGCGCCAGACTCAAGGAACAAAATCTTCCTACTTAATAGGGTGTTCTGTCTCCATATGGAGGCGTTGGTTCAAATCCACTTCTGACATGCATCTTTTTCAATACATTGTTTTGGATTTCATGTACTGTTAAATGGTGACTGACCCCTTGAAACAACGTTTTTTACGATACATGAAAATTCTGTGTCCGAAAACAAATGTTTCTCTTTTCAATTGGAAACATTTAAGAAGGCCCTTCAGTATGAAACATTTTTGCCAGATCTTCTAAACTCAATGTTTGAGAACATTTATGTGCAAAAGCAATACTGTGGTCTCTAACCAATGGTCTAACGATGGAACAAAATCTTCCTACCTAATAGGGTGTTCTGGTTCCATATGGAGGCGTGGGTTCAAAATCCCACTTCTGACATACAACATTTTCGATGCATTGTTTTGGATTTATGTCCTTTAAATGGTGACCTGACCCCTGGACACAACATTTTACTAGATATGAAAATTCTGTGTCCCAAACAAATGTCTCTCTTTTCAATTGGAAACATTTAAGAAGGCCTTCAGTATGGAACATTTTCGCCAGATCTTCTAAACTCAATGTTTGAGAACATTTATGTGCAAAAGCAATACTGTGGTCTCTAACCAAGTGGTCACGATGGCCAAGTGGTCTAATCCCACTTCTGACATACAACATTTTCGATGCATTGTTTTGGATTTTATGTCCTTTAAATGGTGACCTGACCCCTGGACACAACATTTTTTTACTAGATATGAAAATTCTGTGTCCCAAACAAATGTGTCTCTTTTCAAATTGGAAACATTTAAGAAGGCCTTCAGTAGGAACATTTTCGCCAGATCTTCTAAACTCAATGTTTGAGAACATTTATGTGCAAAAGCAATACTGTGATCTCTAACCAATGTCAGGATAGCCGAGTGGTCTAAGGCGCCAGACTCAAGGAACAAAATCTTCCTACTTAATAGGGTGTTCTGGTCTCCATATGGAGGCGTTGGTTCAAATCACTTCTGACATGCATCTTTTTCAATACATTGTTTTGGATTTTGTACTGTTAAATGGTGACCTGACCCTGGAAACAACGTTTTTTACGATACATGAAAATTCTTAGTCCAAACAAATGTTTCTTTTCAATTGAAACATTTAAGAAAGGCCCTTCAGTATGAAACATTTTGCCAGATCTTCTAAAACTCAATGTTTGAGAACATTTATGTGCAAAAGCAATACTGTGGTCTCTAACCAAAGTCACGATGGCCAGAGTGGAAACAAAATTCCTTCCCTTAATAGGTGTTCTTCTGAGGCGTGGGTTCATCCCACTTGACATGCATCTTTTTCGATCCATTGTTTTGGATTTTATGTACTTTAAATGGTGACCTGACCCCTGAAAAACATTTTTTTACGATACATGAAAATTCTGTGTCCCAAACAAATGTCTTTTCAATTGGAAACATTTAAGAAGGCCCTTCAGTATGGAACATTTTCGCCAGATCTTCTAAACTCAATGTTTGAGAACATTTATGTGCAAAAGCAATACAGTGGTCTCTAACCAAAGTCAGGATGGCCGAGTGGTCTAAGGCGCCAGACTCAAGGAACACAATCTTCCTACTTAATAGGGTGTACTGGTCTCCATATGGAGGCGTTGGTTCAAATCCCACTTCTGACATACAACATTTTTCGATGCATTGTTTTGGATATTATGTACTGTTAAATGGTGACCTGACCCCTGGAAACAATTTTTTTTACTAGATATGAAAATTCTTTGTCCCAAACAAATGTGTCTCTTTTCATTTGGGAACATTTAAGAAGGCCCTTCAGTATGGAACATTTTCGCCAGATCTTCTAAACTCAATGTTTGAGAACATTTATGTGCAAAAGCAATACTGTGGTCTCTAAACAATGTCAGGATGGCCGAGTGGTCTAAGGCGCCAGACTCAAGGAACAAAATCTTCCTACTTAATAGGGTGTTCTGGTCTCCATGTGGAGGCGTGGGTTCAAATCCCACTTCTGACATACAACATTTTCGATGTATTGTTTTGGATTTTATGTCCTTTAAATGGTGACCTGACCCCTGGAAACAAGATCTTTTTACTAGATATGAAAATTCTGTGTCCCAAACAAATGTGTCTCTTTTCAATTGGAAACATTTAAGAAGGCACTTCAATATGGAACATTTTCGCCAGATCTTTTAAACTCAATGTTTGAGAACATTTATGTGCAAAAGCAATACTGTGGTCTCTAACCAATGTCACGATGGCCAAGTGGTCTAATCCCACTTCTGACAAACAACATTTTCGATCCATTGTTTTGGATTTAGTGTCCTTTAAATGGTGACCTGACCCCTGGAAACAACATTTTTTTACTAAATATGAAAATTCTGTGTCCCAAACAAATGTGTCTCTTTTCAATTGGAAACATTTAAGAAGGCCCTTCAGTATGGAACATTTTCGCCAGATCTTCTAAACGCAATGTTTGAGAACATTTATGTGCAAAAGCAATACTGTGGTCTCTAACCAAAGTCAGGATGGCCGAGTGGTCTAAGGCGCCAGACTCAAGGAACAAAATCTTCCTACTTAATAGGGTGTTCTGGTCTCCATATGGAGGCGTGGGTTCAAATCCCACTTCTGACATGCATCTTTTTCAATACATTGTTTTGGATTTCATGTACTGTTAAATGGTGACCTGACCCCTGGAAACATCGTTTTTTTACGATACATGAAAATTCTGTGTCCGAAACAAATGTTTCTCTTTTCAATTGGAAACATTTAAGAAGGCCCTTCAGTATGGAACATTTTCGCCAGATCTTCTAAACTCAATGTTTGAGAACATTTATGTGCAAAAGCAATACAGTGGTCTCTAACCAAAGTCAGGATGGCCGAGTGGTCTAAGGCGCCAGACTCAAGGAACACAATCTTCCTACTTAATAGGGTGTACTGGTCTCCATATGGAGGCGTTGGTTCAAATCCCACTTCTGACATACAACATTTTTCGATGCATTGTTTTGGATATTATGTACTGTTAAATGGTGACCTGACCCCTGGAAACATTTTTTACTAGATATGAAAATTCTTTGTCCCAAACAAATGTGTCTCTTTTCATTTGGGAACATTTAAGAAGGCCCTTCAGTATGGAACATTTTCGCCAGAACTTCTAAACTCAATGTTTGAGAACATTTATGTGCAAAAGCAATACTGTGGTCTCTAACCAATGTCAGGATGGCCGAGTGGTCTAAGGCGCCAGACTCAAGGAACAAAATCTTCCTACCTAATAGGGTGTTCTGGTCTCCATATGGAGGCGTGGGTTCAAATCCCACTTCTGCATACAACATTTTCGATGCATTGTTTTGGATATTATGTCCTTTAAATGTTGACCTGACCCCTGGACACAACATTTTTTTACTAGATATGAAAATTCTGTGTCCCAAACAAATGTCTCTTTTCAATTGAAAACATTTAAGAAGGCCCTTCAGTATGGAACATTTTCGCAGATCTTCTAAACTCAATGTTTGAGAACATTTATGTGCAAAAGCAATACTGTGATCTCTAACCAATGTCACGATGGCCAAGTGGTCGGCGCCCAGACTCAGGAACAAAATCTTCCTACAGGGTGTTCTCTCCATATGGACATACAATATTTTCGATGCATTGTTTTGGATTTTATGTCCTTTAAATGGTGACCTGACCCTGGAAACAATTTTTACTAGATATGAAAATTCTGTCCCAAACAAATGTTCTCTTTTCAATTGAAACATTTAAGAAGGCCCTTCAGTATGGAACATTTTTCGCCAGATCTTCTAAACTCAATGTTTTGAGAACATTTATGTGCAAAAACAATACTGTGATCTCTAACCAATGTCTGGATGGCCGAGTGGTCTAAGGCGCCAGACTCAAGGAACAAAATCTTCCTACCTAATAGGGTGTTCTGGTCTCCATATGGAGGCGTGGGTTCAAATCCCACTTCTGACATACAACATTTTCGATGCATTGTTTTGGATATTATGTCCTTTTTAAATGTTGACCTGACCCCTGACACAATTTTTTTTTACTAGATGAAAATTCTGTGTCCCAAACAAATGTCTCTCTTTTCAATTGGAAACATTTAAGAAGGCCCTTCAGTATGGAACATTTTAGCCA